TTTTGAATAAAATTTTAATAGCTTCCTGAAGGGATGTTAGAAAGTATATACAATCGTAATTAAAAATATAAATAATAATACTATTCAAAAAAATTTTGCTTAAGTATAACGAAGATTAAATTAATAATCTTCACAGACATTTCAAATCGAAGTGTTAAAAAAATAACTTACATAGACTCGTTATCAGGCCTAAATATCATCAGGCTTACCTATTTTAGCAATAATAATAGGAACATAATTTAATACAGTATCTGAAAGAGAAAATATTGAGTGATGGAGACCGTTGGCTCAAGTACAAGGTAGGTGTAAGGCCTATACAAGATACAGGTAGTCAAATTGAGGATCGATCTTACGACCTTCAGTCTCTAGCCAATATATAGCTTGGCGCACGTTCACTTCTTACGATTCTGAGTTTCATTATGCAAATATAAGTAATTTATTTTAAGACTGACTGAATGAGATTTTACTGATTTCAACTTATATAGACTGCATTTATTATTTATATTTGATACTTATTTTCACTAACATTTTTAACGAGCTTTTATTATTTTATGTTACAGTGCAATCTATAATGGATAGGAAGAGAAGTCGGCTATGGAGGTTTTTTACACAGGCTACCGATGAGAAGGCAAAATGTGATATTTGCCACTCGCTATATTCAGTAAAAGGTGGCTCAACAACAAATTTAAAAAAACACCTCATAAAAAAACACAGGTCAACTTACGAAAACGTCATTCTATGCTCCATGTCGGATACAATAATTCAAGAAGTTCCTGTGTCATCAACATCAGCAGCAAGTACTGAACATATTAATCATTCAATAGAACTGATATCTCAAACAAATTTAAAACAAACGACGCTGAGTACTTTCCTTAAACGCCCCGTAAGTGTAGTACGGGAAAAAAAAATAAATGACTTAATTTTTAATATGTTAGTCAAAGACCTATAGCCTTTTTTCTGTCGTTGAAGATACCGGTTTCAAAGAGCTAATTAATTATTTAGAACCTGGTTACAAATTACCTTCAAGGTACACATTTAGTAATACCTTCCTGGACGCTCAGTACCTTGAAGTCCAAAGCAGATTAAAAGAAGAATTGCAGAGTGCAAACTTTGTATCAATTACGACCGATGCTTGGACTTCGCGAGCAGCGACTTCACATCAGGCCGTTACTGCCCATTATATATTAAATTGGGAGCTGAAGTATGCACTATTGGGCTGTTTTGAATGTCATGAGCGACATACAGCCGAAGCCGAATATATAAAGAAGGAATTATGTAACTTGCTGTCCCATTGGAATTTACAAAATAAAATATTTGTCTGCGTAACAGACAATGCAGCAAATATGAAAGCAGCCATACGGTTGGCCAATTTTGAACATTTGCCTTGTGTCGCGCATACGCTTAATTTAATTGTGCGTGCGGGACTTCAGGGCGCTGAACTAGATTGCCTCATAAAAAAAATAAAAAACCATCGTGGAGCATTTTCACAGAAGTCCGTTGGCAACGAAAAAATTTGCTGAGGTGCAAAAGCAGCTGAGGCCTGGCGAAAAGCCTCTTAAATTAAAAATGGACATAGTGACCAGATGGAACAGCACCCTGGATATGCTAGAAAGAATGTGTATCCTTCAGGAGCCTCTAGAAGCGGCCCTTGGACTCCTACACAATCCAGTTGCAAATCTGTCAGAAAGTGACTGGCAGGCTCTTCCAGATGTAATTAAAATTTTAAGACCATTTAAGCAGCTAACCGAAGAAATGTCGTCTGAAAATAAGGTTACTGTTTCAATGGTCTTAGCTGCGACTGAAAGTGTAATTAGCATGTTTGAAAATTTAAATTTAAATATTAATACAGAAATTGGAAAAAATCTATCTAATAAAATAATAACAGAATTCAAATACAGGTTCAAAAATTGTTATAGAAACCCAATATTATCTAAAGCAGCACTATTAGACCCGCGGTTTAAGAAGTTGGCATTCAGACTAGCTGATGAATCAAATTATGAGTGTGCTAAAACTCTGCTGAAAACTGAACTTGAAAAATATTTTAATGTTGACAAACAGCAGACAGTGCAATCAAATAAAGTCACGCCAGCAATATTCACTGACACTAACGAGGACTCAATATGGAAAGACTTTGATGCAAGAGTGACATCAAACTCCGTCTCAAACTCAACTGTATCCAGCATCGTCACTATGAGGCAATATTTTGAGGAACGCATTCTTTCTAGGAATGAGTGCCCATTAAAATGGTGGCAGGCGCGGGCATTACTCTACCCCGAACTTTCAATTTTAGCAGAGAAATATTTATCGATCATGGCTACCTCGGGACCATCCGAAAGAACGTTTTCGAAATCGGGGCAAATACAAAGTGAAAAACGTTGTTCCATTCAACCAAAACGAATGGAAAAAGTTTTATTTTTAAACATGAACAAAAGATTACTTCGCTAAAAATAATATGAAATTGTTCTTTCTGTAATGCTTAATTTAATTATTTTTGTAAGTTTTTTAAAATGTGCATAAAATGTTTCATAGTTTTTTTAATTTTTAATGTCCATATATAATTTTCCTAATGTTGTCGAATCGAATGTCATTTAAAACAATGTTAGGAATTGTTATGATCGACCTGAACAAACATAATGCTTTACATATCATATTATAATCATAATCATTGATTTATCAATAGGCCAACATAAAAAGGGATCTGAATAAGAATAACAAAACAAGAATAGTTCAAAATACAGAAATGTGTAAAATATGTATAATATGTAATATTTATATGTACAAAGTTTGCTAAAACCAACCGGTAATTGAAGAAACTGACCCAGTCAGAATAAGACACTGCCGGAGACTACTCTTGGTGAGCAGTTTTTTATATCAACAAGTTAAGGGGTTGGTTTTTATTCGTCTCTCACTCAAATGCCTCTTTATGTATCTGAGTTGATATTATCATTTTTATTTAGAAATAAATGACTTAATAATGTATAATTTTCTGTAATAATTTTCTAGATTTTATTCTCAGAAAAGATACCGAAGTGAATAAAAAATCTGTAGAATACTCATGTGAAATGGGTAATAAAATTCTGGAGATCAAAAGAAAGAAATGCATTTGTAAATAAATTAGTGTATGTTGTTTACGGTGTTGTATCTCAAAAAATAAAACAAAACAAAAATGTTCATTGCATGTTTTTTCAGGACTATCAATCCGGCTCCGCGAAAGATTTTTTAAAATAATTTTATAAAATTTAAAATAAGCAAGGTAACATGCACATTAACTATTTTATATAACAACCAATCTATGAATACATTGCCTGTCATGTATGTTCTTTATATATTTTAAACATTATATATAATTATTTCTAAATTTACAGTGTGTAAAATAATATAGCATTCTATTAAAAAATTTGTTGCTGTACTTTTTAGGAGAATAAAGGTTTCATATGTTATCTTTACCAACTTTCATAATAGTATTCTATGTTTGTTCTTAGAAATTTTCAGCAGAGATATTATATTTTGCACACGGTGTCATATGTATAATCACAAAATACAACCTGAAGTAAGAATATTTCAAGTATTTGTTTCTTATGTACAAATAAGTAGTTTTGTATTAATTTAATATTTCACACTCAATTTATTAACAAATTAATTAAATTTTATAATGGTTCTTAGAAAGCAACCTTAAACCAAGCAAAATAGACTTTAGACCATTTAACACATTAGATATTCTGAAAACATAACATTAGTGTAACCATTGTAAAGCAGTAAATTAATGTTAATTATGTAACTAAGTGCATAGTTATTCTCAAATACGCACCTATTTGTGATAAAGTAGATAGTATAATGAATTGAATGATGATAGTTTATTAAATCTGCTTGAAAAAAAGCAATTATAAAGAATCATATTTATATAGTTATTCTACTACTATGAATAATTCTTCTAAAGGAAAGAAAATGCAACTGCCAAATCAGTTTTGAAATGAAAAAATACCAATGATGATACATCATGTAATCGTAACTTTATCCAAAGATATTGCTGCAAAGTAAAGTGGAAATCGTTCTATAAAACAGACAAACAGCTTTCAGACTCCGACAAATTGTTACCATTTTTCATAATTAGTGTTCATCAGCAGTTGAATGGATAATACTGTAGAGCACTGGTAGTTTAACTCATTGCATGCAGGTATATCTTGCCAAGCCATAAATCAACCTTTCACTTACAAGAAGAATTTAACAAAGCTCGCCTACTTGGCCTCACAAGTTCATCCGCACACAATGTGCTAATAACGCAAAATCAGAACTTAAGTAAATAACAAATAAGTCTAAATTAATTAGCTAACAAGCTAGCCCAAAATTCTAACTACTGCCGCAAATAAATTAATCTTCGGCTGTATAGACCAAAGCAAAGATATCAAGTGGACAGAAGAACGCTGGTAGAGTAGAGAGTCGCACAATGCCGACTCTGTATTCATTTAAGTCATATAACTGCTGTGTTTATCTCACGACTTTCGAGTTATAATTTGAAGTTAGCATATAATCATGTATTCATTATATTACTTTTTAATATTACCTTAAAAGAAAAATATTTATATGTGAGCTATTAAGAGTGTTGTGATGATCTACTAGTAGCTCACGATCGACCTCGTTCTAGATATGACTACCTGAACAGACAAAGTTTTCTTACGTTTATTTCAAGAATAAAGATATAACAGTAAATAAATTGAGAAGACGAATGCGGATCTGATTGGGAACTAGCGCAAAATAGTTTTGACTGGAGTGTCTACCTTTGAGGAAGATTGAATTTTGATTAATTGCAGGATACATGAAAACTATCAGCCTAGCAGAAGATTTGTATTCGTAGAATGCTGTTTACCGGAAAGAGAATAATCTTCCCGTTATGCATATGGAAAATCTCGAGTTGCGAGTCTTTTACTTAAGTTACTTTGCATGAAAATATGCAAATTTTTTCGATGCAAGGAATTTTAAGCTATTTCTGCTTTAAATGTAGGCAGACGAAAAGAAATTTTTAGCATACTAACTTATTATTTAGGGCTTTAATCAAAATAATATTCGTCTAGTAATTTTTTTCCCCAGTGAGTGACTAATTTTCGGTATTCAGGAAATGTTACATTGCACTAATCAAATAGTTCAATTCTCCCCCAGCTCAAAAAGTATCTATAATAACCATTCTCGAAATATTACTCTGCAGTAATCGCGTTTGACATTGAATAGAGAGAATATGGGAATGAAAAACAAATAATGCCTCGTTATTGCATAAAAGTAAACTTTGTTTTATATGTATGTGGAAATTTTATATATGAAAAGGATGTTACTATTCTTATTTATTGTAAGAATTGTTGTGTTTCTTATCAACGCTTATGATCTAAAATCGCTTACATATGTAAATAAATCATCAAAATATGTAAATTAAGCAATAACTGATTTAAAATTAAAAGATAATAATAAAAAATACAAGAATCTAAACAAGGTATTTTAACAATAATGAAACTCATTTAAAAAAATAGTTTACTAACTGTAGATATCAGAGTAAGTTAAAGATAAGAAAACAGAAGTAATGAAGACTTAGATAGAGTTAAAAAAAAATCCTCCATCTCTCTCTCTCCCATCTAGCACATGGGCTGAGATTAGGACAATGGGGGAGAATTGGACGAAAGGACTACGTAACCAAATTTCCATCCACACACTAGTACTATTTCCAGCATTCTCTATATTCTCATTAGTGGAGCTTTGATTGTTTTCCTTTCTTCATTGGTATGCCGTAAAAATCATGGTCTTTGTTTCTATCATCCTTTGAGTCATTATATTATTTGCTCATTCAGAGCCTAAATTTAGCAAATGCTCGGCTGAGCTTTAGTTCTTGCGAAATTGTAATTTCATCCACATCCCCAATTAAGACGAAGATTTCCCGGTTTCCTCCTGTGTGATTAAAATCGTACCGGTTTATTCGCTGCTATCCCTCATCCCCTCTTTAGACACCCCTACTGACAATTTATTTCCCATTTCGTCCACTGCTTTTCAACACCCCCTCATCAATACCCCTACTCACGGACGGGGGACTTTCCCCCAATTCAACCCCCCTTTCAAAAAGTCGTTCTTGAGAGGCACATTTCTTGACATAGGGAACATTACATAGCAAATGTCAACTATGTACCAAACATCGATACACACATTTGCAAATATACAAATGAAGTAGGAATCAAGAAAAAAAGAAATGTTTAAAAGGTAAGAAAATATTTGTGTTACCTTTTTTTAGGGATAACAGAAAGCTCAAAATTTGTCAATCAGTACTATTTCATAATGCAATAAGCACAGTTTTATTCATTTAAGAAAATTTTTAGTAATTCGCTGCTCAGTGTAAACTGTTGTTAAACTTAAAAACACTTGAAAAAAAAGTCATCATATGTGCGTTCGGCGCGCACACACATACTAGTTGGTTTGGTTTGTTACACTAGAGCTGTCTTAAGAGGAGCACACTAGAGCACACTAGAGCTGTCTTAAGAGGAGGGGTGCCTTCGTGGAGGGACTTTCTAAGGGAAACTGGCTCGCATACACGTTACACATGGAAAAAACTACGAAAACGTTCATGCAGCCAGTCCGTCCACCGAGATTCGAGCCCCGCACAAAACTACCAGTGTTCAGCGACTTTATCGCTCGGGCCCTTATTGGCCCTCACACATACAAGAAAAAAGTAGATGATTTATGCTGAAAAAAATATTCTGAAAAAGGAACTGCGTTTTTTAACCGTTTACATCTGTTGTGCCGAAATAAAAATGTAATCAAAAACAATTTTTTGTATTCGAACGAACTTTATTGTGTGCACATGAATTATTATTATAACAACGTATGAAAGGATATAAGTTGAGAAAAGATTTCGAAGAAAATAATTTTCATTTTTAACTAGGAGCTTCGCTGCCAGCCTTCGTCTGGCTTTTAAATGTACCGGAAAAATGGCTGAAGGGAACACCAAATGTTAAATTTAAAAACTGCGTAGAATTTTACTCTGCAGAACAACTTCATAAAAAAAAGTTACTACGTATAACAAAATTACAAAGAAATAAACAATATCCTTTAATACAAATATTAATTATCCTAATAAATAAATTAACCAACTTCCCTTTGCAAAATCTTAAGAACTCAAATGGTATAAAGGAGGTTAAGAACTTTATTTCCTAAAAAAATCACTCAAAACTTTTCAATATCTTAAAAACTGTGAAATGAGCAATATATAACATAAAAGAATACAAAAAACAAAAAATTCTGAAAATCAAAGTATAATTAATGATATTTTATCTTATATTTTCAAGAGAAAAAAATTACAATGAAATAAGCTATATCCCTTAATAAAAATATTAATTATCCTAATAAAAAATTATTCAACTTTTCGTTGAAGGGAAAAAAATCATGCGGAACGTTTCAATATCTTACAAACAATGAAATAAACAAAAAATAACATGAAAAAAAACAAAAAAAAAAAAAAAAAAAAAATTGTACTGCCAAAAAAAATGAAATACCATAAAAATACCATGAAAAATTTTGAAAGAAACAATTTAAATGACAGGAAAGTTGCCAAAATCACATTTTTAAAGATCTGAGAAGTGTACTCGGAAGCTTCATTTAAAAAAATTTTTAAAAATACAATATATTATTATTTTTCCAAAATTCTTTTGCAAAAGCAGTTGCAAGGATGAAAGTTTAATGTTTCCAAAAATCAAAGAAAAATAAACTGTACATTTAAAGAAAAAAAAAAAAAAAAAAAAAAAAAAAAAAAAAAAAAAAAAACCTTTTTATAAAAAATCCGGTTGAAATGGTGTTAAGCTCCCTTTGTTAAATAAATTCGTACTGAATCGATTTATTGAAAGACGAATTTATTTTAAGTTCGTAAAATAGCTAAGTGCCTACGTTTCATGACGATGTGAAAATGGAGTGTGTAGAGTAAAATCTCGCTTTCCTATAGCCCATTATGTCTCAAAATGACGCGATTTCGTCACAAAACATAAAATAAAATAAATTCTAATTCTAATTTCGAAAAAACTGCTTCGAGGTGCACTGGCTCTTAACTAGATGCACCTACTATGTGCCAAATTTCGTAGCCGTGGGTCTATTAGCTTATGCGCAGCGCGAACGAAAGACACACACACACAGACACTTTCTTTTATTATATGTAGAGATTTTTTCAAAAAGAGATATCATATTAATTTCCAAATAATTTAAATCTGCTGTGCTGAAATAAAAATTTAATAGAGAATATTTTTTGTGTTTGTTTATTGTATATGTAGGATTTACTATTATTACGTGTGTGTGTGCCTGTCTCAAAGTAAATATTTCAGTTATGTATAATAAAAAGTATAAAAAAAGAATTAAACTCGCATAACAGCTAATTGCGAAAGAAAAATTAGAGCCATAAATCGCTCATTTTTTTAAAATTACATTAATTCCATTATCTATTAGAAAATAATAATTATTGCAAATCATCTATTTAAACGACATCTCTAAGAGGTCACTTTCTAAGGAATCTGTATTTTTGAGAACATAAACAAACATTGGTAGTGAACATCACATTTTTAAGACCACCACATGTAAGATGCTCTAAAAGCATGAATGGTTGCATTTAAAGAGGACCCATTACTTTTAATAAAGAATGTAACTTTAATCTTAATTAAACATGTTTTTGGTGTGTGTGCCAAAATAGTGATACCGTGGTTCTGTTGCTTTAGAAATGTGTGAAATTAAAAATATGGATACTATATAACAAAAATGTTATTATATTCAGATTGGATTGGATTGGATTATTCAATTATGGCTAAACACACACGAGGGCTATCTGCCTAAAGGGAGGGATGCCTTCGTGGAGGAATCTAAGGGAAACTGGCTCGTATACACGTTACACATGGGGAAAACCACGAAAACGCCCATGCAGCCAGCCCATTCGAGGGATTCGAACCTCGAACCGAACTACCAGTGTTAGCGTCTTTACGGCTCGGCCGCTGGTGGGCCTATTATATTCAGATACACACCTTTTGAACACGTCGGAAATTCATTATTCTGCTCAGCATAATTTGTCTGCATAAAATATTAAATAGTATCAGAAATCAAAAGCTAAGTCGAAGTAGAAACAGTCATCTCTTCTAAACCATTTTAATTGAAGTAAACAGACGTTCGTCTTATCGTAAAGTAAACACTTATTTTTCAAACAGCGGATAAAACGAGAAAGAAGGAATTGGTGGGGGAAGGCAGCGAACGAAATGACACTTTTTCGAGCTCTGGATGAAATGAGAAAGGACGAAACGGTACTAAGCCAATAAGACAAGGTCTGGTATTTTACTTTATTATTTAACTATTCATCATAAGTTTAAGAATTATTTAAATTTTTATTTGTCTTTACATTTTTATTAAATTTTACTTATAAGTATTTTATATTTCAGTTGCTAATTATTATGTTACTTTAATTATTCATTATTTTAATCACTATTTTTTATTATTTTAATTATGAAGTTTTTTAATTTATTATTTTAATTACTAATTAATGTTATTATTGTCATATTTATTCCCTTTCTTTCTTTATTTTTTCCTATTTTCCTGACGGCCTTCCGTAGGCGCTTCTGACTTTAAAAACTAAGCCCTGACAGCAATAGAAAATTTAATAATGAATCATATCCAGTGCACCAAAAAATAATAGCCAAAATAAAGTGAATTATTTCTACTAAAAAATGTGACGCAAAACTCCCTATCGCAGCACTACCCCAGTTCCCGCGGGGTAGAAAAGCTCACGTGATTCAATGCGATGCGACGTTTCAAGGCCCTTTTTAGGGCCGTAGACCGATAAAATAGGCTCAGGATACGGATACCGATGGATTTTACCGAAAGTAACGAGTAACGATACGATAGTAACGAGTACTGGTTCACCGAGTAACGAATACATACGGGTACACAATTTCTCGTTACTTCTACAGCACTACTAGTCGATATTTCCGTGACGTCAAAAATTCGAAAAGTGGGGTAGGGTTTGGAAATACGCTGCACGAAATCAAAACAAACTCTTCTGCAATTTTGATTCCTTCGGCGAATTAAGCTGCGTATATTAGTAACGCAAGAAATAAGCTTGCGTTGGCGAAAACAAATAATAAACTTTTAATAGTGTTAGGAAATATTTTTTAAAAATTTACTAAATCAAATGTTAAAATATGGCATAGAAAATTCTGCTCTCAGCAAAATTTATTTCACTTTAATTATTTTATTAACATCATCAAAAATTCTACTTTAATCATTATTTTTTTTCAACAGGCAAAAAGACAAAGCTTTGATTACAAACAACCATGCGTTTCTGTGTATATGGTGAAGTATGTGGACGTCTAGTAAGTAATTGAAAAAGTTAAAAGATGCCTTTACTAGCTGAAATTATTGGGAAAATAGTAGATCCAACACCAAAAGTTGTTGATCCAGAAGATGATGTTAACATCGGTAAAAACTGATTTTTTTCTTTTTTTTACCTTGAAATTTAACCAAATGTATTTTATATATATAGTTAAATTAATTCTGAATTTCTTCGTTTGATTCCATTTAATGTATTGCAATTTATTTTATAGAAACTTCAGCTAGAATTAGTAATAAAGACAAAGATTCGGATGCAGAATTAACTATTAGCACACCAGGGCGTAAAACTCCGTTTTTGATTGAAGATGTAGATCCAAGATATGCTGGCCATAAAATATCAAGGAAGTTATTGGATAACATTTTTCATGAAGGTGGGAAATTAATTTTAAAATTTTTTTTATCGATTTAGAAGTGTTATATGTTGTGAATCATTAATATATTGATAAACACTTGCAGATACGAAATTGCATAACAGCTGTAGTTTTCTTTCTTCAGTTGCCTCCTTCACTTGTGTGAGAAAATTTGAAAAAGTTCTTTTCCAGTGTTTCCATTTAGATTCCGCTCCAACACAGGCAGGGTCAACATCAAATCTTTCTGGTTTCAATAGGTTTTTCATTTTGCAAAAGAATAAAGTAAAAATTAATTTTAGTCGATTAAATTGTTATAAATATAAGAGAAGCTCAAATAAAGCTTTAATCGACTAAAATTGCACGTAAAACAATTGTTACATTGTAAGAACAATATTTAAACTCACAATGACTGTTGCCATTCAATGTAGTATAATTTTAGTGCTGCCAACAATGTTAAATATTATACCACAGTACCTTTTCAATTACAGTACAAAGTCCATAATCCGGACTCGTCGGGACTTCGGGGATTCCAGATTAAGGTTTTTTTTCCGGATTATAGATCATCAATTTAAATCTGGTAAGATGGCATGCAGAAATTATACAATTAAAAATATGAAACCATAATTTATGAAATAAAGAGCAATTATAATCTAAAGGGTATCAAAATTTACAAAAAAAAAAAAAAAAAAAAAAAAAAAAAAAAAAAAGCTTAATATTTACTTGTTTACTTTATTAAACTTTTCTTTCAATGTAAATTGTTTAAGCTGCTTCGTTTTTTGTGCTAAACGTACATGCGTAAGTTTGTGGCTTTGAAGTCCAGATTATAGATCATTCAGGATAATGGACGGACGGATTACAGACTTTGTATTGTATATCTTCTTTTAACCACTCCTTGAACACATTATTATATGCATCATATTTTCCTTCCATTTTTAACTTAGTTGTTGTTTTTTCTAGTCTTCTTTCAGCTATATCTCTATATTCAGGAAGATTTTTGTCATGTACCCATGACAGTTTCACTTCATATCTTCCCTCCTCATGTTTTCTTAAATTTGCCATAAAATGATCGTTTTTGACCTTATCAATTTCAGTTCAAAGCAGAATTTCAATTTAAATTCTAGATTTCAATTCAAAGGGATATGTAAGTTGTTCCTTTTGTTCTAAAGTCTGAGCCTATCAAAAGATCAATCTGTGGATGGAAACAATCAACATCTGTGATATGAATTCCCTTTCCAGATAATTATGATATCCAAGGTCCTTTCTGTAGACTAGGTATAGATCCGTAGATTATAGGCTGATATAACACAGGAATTTTGCAGCTATAACCAGTACTCAACATTTATGATTCATATGAGATGTCCTTCCTCCAAACACAGCGTGTGTTAATTTTTTATGATCAAGAATGATGAAGCTCGAAGATGAAGTTTCTTTCCTTAATGTTGAATGGCAACCACTAAAGTTTGAAGCAAAACTCTTCCTGAAGTACCTGTTGAAGAAAGAGTGCTAATTTCACAATTTTTTTGATTGCACTCGACAGGAACTTTTGATTTCTGCTTAAATTCTGGACAACAAACAATGTAATGCTTCCTACTACAAAACGTGCATAGAACTTTACTTTTACAATTTTTAGATTGATGGTTTGTTTTCAAATATGTAAAGCAATATTTTTTCTCTTTCTTAATTTTCAATTTTTCATCAAGACTTAAATTTTGTGCTTTGTAGCAATCTTTGCTTTGATGAGATTTTTTGCAAAATATTCAGTTTACAACATTATTGTTATTTATTTCTTTTGCTTCCAAAAACAAGTTGCTTGCAGTGGGTATAGTAATATCTTCTCTATCCTTATGAACTTTTCTATAGGGATCACTTTGCTTCATACCTGATTTTGCTAGAGTTATTCTTTCTTCCCCTTCGACCTCAACCCTTAGCAAATTTAAAAGTTCGCTCAGTCTTGCACTATATGATTTCTCTTCACTTACTGAGTTTCTCAACCAAACTCTCAACACGTCTTCTGGAATACATGACTCCACAAGTGGGAAGAGCTTTGCAGAATATTTGTCTGAGGTCGTCCCAATGGGGGAAACTCAGCGGCATTTGGCGCAATGTTTTCACCATTTCGAATCGCCATATCCTCAGGAGGAATTTTTTTATGGCAAGAGAGAAATGGCATCAAAAGGTGCTTTCTGAAAATTTCCTCTTCAGCTCATTGCTGGGGGAAAACTTCTGCTGGGCGAAAATCGTGTAAGGCAAATTGTAGCATTTGCATTGAGATGGTAAACCATACACATAGAACAAATTGTAAACGATTAGTTATTATTGTGATTAAGTAAATCTATGTACCTTTTTTCATCTTAGTATTTTATATTATGATTATATATAACTCCAGCATTATTAACTTTTATACTTCTCTTTTTTAATTCTTACCATTAATTTGAACAATTATCCGTAATAATGGTTATATATATTTGAAAGCATGTTCTTTATATAAATGCAGTAATGATCAAGAAAATGAGATATATATCACATAGTTAATTAATGATGGAAGTTTAAAAAAAAATAAAATATGCATGTATTTCCACAATAATATTGCATCCTCGAAATGTATTCCAGGCTATTCAATCATCCAATCAGGTTTACATTTTACATTCCGGACTCTTTAATGCATATAATTTTGATTAATAAGGTTAAGAGGGTTATTTTTATTCTTTTTTTCCTTGTTTAAGTGCGAAATTAGTTTTCATGTAGGTAACCAAAGAAATGTAATCCTGAAATGCATAACTGCAGGGAAACAGGATTTGTAACAAGTGCTTCTATGGCTTTTCACAACATTATGCAATTGTTTAAATTTCAGAAAGAGACCAATCAAATAGAATAGGATAAGGCTATTTGAATTTTTCTGTATTTATTCTATGAAAAGTTTAATCCTAAGATATTTTTGTGCAATTTGAACATTGTCTAGAGCAGTGGTTTCAAACTGGCAACCCCCGAAGCAATTTTATGTGGTCGGCGTAGAAAAACAGCGGAATAATTTTTTTAAAATTATTTTATACTAACTTATTAGTATTTCAAAGTCTGATTATCATTTTATTGCATTTTAATAATTATATTTGATTATGAGGGGTTAAAAAACTACTTTTATGATACAGGGTGTCTTTCAGTGGCTAAAGGGTATAACTGTTGCACAGTTTGTCTTGAAGTCAAGCCATGGCTAACAGACTTCCCTCTCCTTAAGCAAATAGCCCAGGAGTGCTTTTGATATTCTAAATAATGCATGGACATAATTAGAAAAAAGGCATTTGGATAGATTAAACAAATGACTTCCATAAATTAAAAATATATATATATTCATATTAGAACTACAATGAATTTATTTAGAAATTAATTCCTGTTTGTTATTTTCAGACTCAAATATTTGGGAGTATATTTTTATATTAAGTAAATAATTAAAAAAAAATTTTCATTCTAATTATAAATTATCTGAAAATATGAGAAACAGTATTAGTTAGAAATAGTTAAAGTTAGAAAAATGGTATATTTTATTTATAAAAATAAAATCATTTTATTCTGATTAGAAGTGTAATTAATTTATTTCTATAATTAAAAATTTTAAATTTGTTTATTTAGAATTAATTCTATATTATTAATAATTGGAAATTAATTCTATATATTGATTCTATAACTTTTTTCGGTACTATTCGGTTTTGAGGGCGTAAAAAATTGCCAGACTATTGTTGATGCCAGTGCTGCCAAAATTAATTGCGGCAACTATTTAAGATTGATGTTTTAATTTAGATGAAATGTTAATTTCATATAATACATTTTATTATTATAATTTATATAAAAAAAGGCTAAACATGACTGAATGGAAAGATAAGAGTAAATAACTATTTCAGATAATTATTATAATTTATATAAAAATTGCTGAACATAACTGAATGGATGCCTGCATTGCTATTTCGCTACCGAGTTATCGCTAAAGCATAATTTCATTTCGGTTGTTCAAACATAATTTTCTATAATGAATGATGCCTTTTCTTTGAAAATATTCTTGGTAAAGTACAGAATCGTTCACTTATTTGTTCACCGCTTTTTACAAGGGTGAAAACAATTGGATTTTTGTCAGTTTTCTTTTTAAGTGAAAATAGGTCGATGTGTACAAAGGTAAAGTCAAGGGTGTGCGCGGTGCCATTTTTGTGCAATTGTGGAATTTTTTTTAAGTGAAAATAGGTCGATGTGTACATCGATACCGAGTATGTGCAATTCTTAAAAACACGTCAAGCAGTGGGTGATTCTGCACTTTACTCAAAATTCTATTGCAGACTTTTCGTCACGGGCAATTCCCAAATTGTTAAATCCATAGGATATCGAAAAAGGATTTAAAAATTAAACTAGTATTTCAATGGTGTATTAAGAAATATAGAACTATATAAACTTACGCAATCTGAAATCAGTACGTACGCTAGATTTGGCGCGCTGTTAAATCGGCGTGTTTGCTAGATTTGGCGTTTTGTGCAAGTCCGAAAACCGAACTTGTTGGGACTTCAGCGACTCCGGATTTGGGATTTTTCTGGATATTAGATTATCGGTTTAAATCTAGTAAGAAAGCGTGTAGAAATTATAAAATTAAAAATATAAAATCATGATTTATGAAATAATGAAGCATTTATGATCTAAAGGGTATAAAAATTTACAACCAAAAGAATGCTTTATATTTATTTGTTTACTCTATTAAACATTACTTTAAATGAACATTAATATAAATTGTTTAAGTTGCTTTGTTGTTTGTGCTATTGCAGTCAATGGTCATTAATCCGGACTCGTCAGGACTTCGGCGATTCCAGATTATCGATTTTTCCGGATTATAGATCATCAGTTTAAATCTGGTAAGATGGCATGCAGAAATTATAAAATTAAAAATATGAAACCATAATTTATGAAATAAAGAACAATTATGATCTAAAGGGAATCAAAATTTACAAAAAAAAAAACTTAATATTTATTTGTTTACTTTATTAAACATT